CAAAGCACGCAGCTCCGCGGGACGAGCCGAGAACAAAGACGGCCGAATCGATATGGTTTGGACGCAGCACACGATTAAGCTGAGAGGTGATGTTGTGTATTCTGTCAGCATTCTTGACGGCTAGTCTAAACAGACACGTGCACACAACTCCAGACACACACACACACACACACACACAAGACGTCTAATTCTCTGCCTCCCTATTGATTCATCCTTCTCCTTGCTACACCTTAATGTACTCACCCAGTTAGACATTGATCCGATCACAGCAGTTCGTTTATCAGAATGACCTTTTAACTTGCTCGTGCATTTGACCTTTTGCATACAAGGGATCAGTACACAAATTTTCAGTTTCGTCCCACTAAGATATAAGCGAAACGTATTCCACTACCTTACACAAGAGCACGTAGAATTTGCTCACAGAACACCCTGGATGAGGAATTAGCCATTTTAAAGAATACGCTGCGCCAGAATGGCTACCTTGATAGACTTGTTGCAAGGAATTTTGAAGAAAAACCCAAGCCGGTGCCAATTTTAATCGCGGCGAAGAAAATTTTTAAGATTACCTTTTAAAGAGGATGCCGCTGCCCAGCGCCTAGCCAAAAGTCTTTCAGCGGCAGTCAAGTCGACATTCCCAGCAGCCAGGGTGAAGTGTATCTTTGCTACTGAACCACTTGTTCTTTCACGCAATACGGATATGTTGCCATTGCTGACCTCATCTATGGTTACTTATCAGTTCGAGTGCGCTTGCGACGCTACTTATATTGGTCGAACGGCACGGCAATGTCCAAACGGGTGAACGAGCAGTGCGCACGCTGGTTGCGTCAAGGAGAAACTGGGACCATTAGCGGCGCCGTTTTGGCCCATATTGTCTACACTGGGCACCAAGTTGATCTAAAGCATCAATCAAGAGGTTTGCGCCTCCGTTCGCTCGCGACAGCTGAATCGATTTGCATCCGGTTGTTTCAACCTTCATTATGCTCGCAAAAGAAGTTGCTCCGTGCCTTTCAGCTTCGTTGATCAGCTAGAACGAACGATGCTGAGTTCCATTGCCACAGATAAAGCTCGGTACCATGCAATCGACCTGTCAGCTCAAAGGTCAACTTTTAGCCTCCCTCACTGAACCATTAATTAACTATGTAACTTGAGCCAATGAGTCGATTTCAGTTCCTTATTTGACCCTTAAATATGATTGTAATGGTCTGAAGACAATCATCGTAAACAATTGTTCACCTGTGGTCTTGTGTTCTTTTTTAACTCTAAATGGAAATTTTCAAGTTGTTTAACTGTGCATGTTTGACACTGGTGCTAAATTTTTACATTTGTAATATAAGTGAAAAGTCTTGTGAGTTCAGGTTCTGGATAAAAATCGGTTTTTGTAGAATCTTATTATGGCAACTTTTCGCTCTTAACGCAAGTGCTTCTTCAGGCCAGGTGAATCGGTGCACAATTGGCTTAGCATTTTATGGAAAAGTAAGGCCAATATTGCAAGAAATAACATGAACTATTCGATAATAGTGTTACAGGTGAATATGTCAAGTGGTCATTCTAGTGAAACAACAAGCATCGAGCGTTTCTCATTGATCCATGTCACCGGTCGTTCACACGTGAGGCATTCCTTCCTGCAGCTGCTGATTCACGCGGTGGCACATTGCCATTCCTCGATTGCCTAGTTCCTAGGAACGGTGCACAGTTAAAGACGACGATATATCGCAAGGTGACAGATACGGGCGGAGTACTTTATTACAGTTCGGGTTATCCAAAACAAGTCTATGCTACTATCGCATCCTCTTTGTTTCACCGAACCCAAACTCTGTGTACAGAGGAAGAGGACAGGAAGGCCGCTGGTAAGGAGACAGTGAACAAATTAATAGACAATGGATATCCAAGCAGGTTAGTGAAACGCCAGCTGCAGAGGGCTCTAAATCCACCACGGCGAAGTATAACGGAGTGGATTGGGACGGTGGGAATCTCTAATAAAAAGGGAATCTCACAAGCAATCAGGTAAGTGCTAAACAGGGAGAAAATAAGCGTGGTTTTTCAACAGGGCCAGACAAGCTACTCATCACTTGTGAGTTTGAGGGATCCGCTTATAGGAGACAGGACGAAAATTGTGTTTAGAAAATCAAGTACAAAACCGTGAACACGTCTATATAGGACAAATAGCGTGAGAGCTACGTAGAAGAATAGTAGGACACAAGAGACACGTTTCGCGACCAGCGCCCTACTAAAAGATTCAGCGGTGGCCGTACGTGCGCTAGAAGCAGGACACGAGATTGCTTGGAACAATGTCGAGATTACCAGCAACAAGCCAAAGGTTGATTGCTGAGGCGGTTGAGATTACTAAGACTAATAACTGTGTGAACAGAACGAACAGGGTGGAGTTATCGGACGCGTGGTGGGCTGTGTTAACCCGATCAGTCAGAAAAGATGTCGGCGGACGAACTCAGATCGGAGCGTGAATCAGCAGCTGCAAGAAAGAAATGTCTTACGTGTAAACGATCGGTGACATGAACCAATGAGAGACGCTCGATGCTTGTTGTTTTACTAGCATGGCCACTTGACCTATTGACCTGCAACACTATTATCCAGTAGTTCATGTTATTCCTTGTAATATTCACCTTACTTTTCCATAAAATGCTAAGCCAATTGTGTACCAATTCACCTTGCCTGAAGAAGCTCTTGCGTCAAGAACGAAAAGTTGCCATAATAAAATTCTACAGAAACCGATTTGTATCCAAAATCTTCTGAAATCATGAGATCCCAGTCGGTTCCGAACTTATTCCTAGATAAATGAAAAGTCATGTGTCTTTCCGCATTTTGTAGCTAATTTGCTATTTCCCTGGCTGATTAAGTGTTCGACGGCATCTTTGGAGACATGGGGAATATGAATGCATTGTGGAACAAGGAGGGCTATGGCCTTGTGGTTTTGTTTACAAAACTGCTCCGCAGCGGTGCACGCACTGGTAGAAAGGAAAATTACATCCTAATAAGAGAAACGAATAAAATATGGAAAGGATTCGCAGTTTATCTTATGGATTACAAGTGGCGGTGTAGGGGCTAGTTTAGCGGGCATTTTAACGGTGAAACAGTCGGTGCATTTTATGGTCGAAGAAAGGGAGATCTCGGTCTGAGGATAAGGTATCTCAATTCGAATACTAAGTCCAACACACTGGCGGACCTGGTTGGACTGGCAACTCATTCTTGCCAGCTGCCTACTCTAATAGAAGAAAAAAAGTGGCCTGCATGATAGATGTTGGTGGGATCACCAGTGTATTTTCGGTAAGTTAAAATCACCGGCAATTATCTTCTGGTTGTGTGGCAACCCTGGTACGAAATCAGATGCAGAACTGATGTTGGTACTTTTCACGATAGACGCATTCGGTGGGTCGTAGATACATGCGAGCAGTACATAAGCTGAGGCACCTACAACTGACAGCCAACTAGATTCAGGGGCATTTTTTTAGTGTGTAAGGTCTATACTTTTAACCATAACTCTTTTGTGCACGTATATAACACACCCTACACCATTATTGTCACAGTGATCTCGAAATAGGTGATAGTTTGGAATAATCAGAGCAGAGACAAGTGTGTCTGAAGAACACCATGTTTCCGGGACGATCATCGCTTGTGGGTCATTGAACTGTGCAAATGTGTTTATGAAATGAAGTTTGTTGATTATTGCTCTGGAATTAAGCAGAATCACGGAAAATGTACTAGGTATTAAAGAATTATCGCTGTCCGTTATATGATCGTCTGAATCTTTGGGTTCGAGCAAGGTGCAATGGTTGGTAAAAGCGAGTATGGTGTGCCCGAGTTAGTCATTAGAACATTTGTTGTTAAGGGCGGCGTGCTATATGTAGCTATCGAGACAGTTGGGGACACGACGGGAACGCAGGCATCATGCTTAGGCTGACGTTGCTTTATCAATGAACTAACATTGATATATGGACAAATTAGAGGAAGAGTGGGATCAAAATGTTGACCTCCAGTGGATGCACATGAGGTGGGAATTGGTGCGAGTCCATTCTTGTCCTCGCTAATGAATGGTTGTTTGATGAAGCGGCGTGAGAGGTTGAAGGAACCTGGACAGGAGCAGGTGGTCACATAATCCTATTTGCAGATGTCCTTCCATTGATGATATGCATATATTTTGATTTTGCAAGTTCCATTCAGCTTGCTCTACAATAATTGTTAAACGCCTCCTGCTTTATCCAGAATAAATCATTGTTGTACAGTTTTTGCTTCATGTAGCACACATTTTGTTCGACAATCGGAGCTGCTTTCCTTCTGAAAATTTTCGCTTTGCTTTCTCACATGCGAAATGGCCTACGTTTTGACTCGTTTCATCTTTTTCCATTAATTGCACTACAGTGCTTGGATAATAAACGAGTCCCCTAAGGGAAATGAGCAGTTCACAGGTTGGGGATGTGTATTGCCTGTTGTTGTAACTCAACACTATGCTCTGAGGCAACTCGCATTACGGAATTAACTGCAAATTATCAAAACAACTATTTGTGGCATTAAGTGAGCACCCTTCTCCCTTACATTTTGTGCACACTCCATTACCGCCGTTTCGAAAGCGATGCGTTTCTACCGAAATCAAGCACAGCAGGCAAGCAGATGGAGACGCGCACCTGTTCCCAGCGCATGGATGAGAACTTAACACTTAAAGCCATAGGGTTTTTGAGCATCTGTAAACAAGCACTCATATGCAGAGCGCGGATCTGAAGTACCCAAATAGCCCCACCGGCGCAATGGGTTGCATACACCTTGAACGAATTCTTTTGTTGACTTAATATCAATCAGTTCGGTATGCCACATCCCATCACAGTCGCACTACGTAATTTACCGCCACAAAGCTTCGGGTTGAACACAGTGAACCACCACTGCTGCTTAAATCTTATATGGAACAAAGCACGTGAAAAGGCAGTCACTGCTACAGGCTACAAAGCATGGTAATCCTCAGAAAACTGATAGCAACGGGTAACAAAACTCACTTCTTCTGATGTGCCAAAACACCTAACTGGTGGTGAGTAGCTGGCTTGTACTCTAATTATTTCCTCTTTGACTCTGCTTCCAGCATCAACCAGTTCCTCAGAGGTGGTTACATTTAAGCAACGACGACGACGCCATCGATAACGTGTGTGTCCGCAATCCCGTGGAATGCATGAGGACATGGATGACCAGGCGGACCAAGTGCCCACTGGTATCTCACAGTTTGACCCTATTTTGGTAGAAAAAGTAATTCGGATAATATCACTTAATGTTAGTGAAGTGGTTTATGGAATACCGAGTGCGGTAGAAAACTGGGGGTTGGAGCTCGCCGCTGCACTGAAGAACTAAATCCACTGAGATGGATGATATTAACCCAAAGCTTCTGTACGAACTGGCAAGCGAGCTATGTGTCCCAGTTACTTGTTTGTTTCAGATATCGCTTCACAGCTGCTCCTTACCTAAGGACTAAAAGGAAGCTATCGTCTGTCCGGTTTTCGTACAAGGCGACAAGCATTTCACTGCCAAATATAGACTGGTTATTTTGACAAGCGTACTGGTCGGAATATTAGAGAAATTAGTTAGGGAGGTGATTGAAAACCATCTGCGGGCATTTGGTTTATTCAGTCCACTTCAACAAGGTTTTCATAACGGTCACTTTTGTATGAGTAATCTGCTAGTTACCCGCTAATCTTGAGCGGATGCTGTGGATCAAGGTCATGCAGTGGATGTGCTGTACATCAACATCTTCAAAACGTTCAACGCTCTGCCTCACTCTCGCCTCTCGTTGAGGCTTCGGTCCTATGGCACATCAGGGCTTGATCTTAAATGAATCTCCACATGTCTAGAAGGGAGAGAGATGTGTGATCGTGTGGGGTCTAGTCTGTTCTTCCGTTAGACCGCCCTTAGTGCCGTCACGCAGTGTTCGGTGCATAGCCTATTGTTATTTTCTCTGTACGTCAACGAGCTCCCAGAAGTGCTGGAGGACCAAGTCTTATGTTTGTTGACGAACCGAAGTTTGGGCACATAGTGACCGACCTCGATGGACCGCAGACTCTACGACAGGTTTTCGATAAACTTTGAGACTGAGCTGCTGTGTGGTAGACGCTCATAAACGACGCCAAGTGTTTCGTTCTACCATTAGGCCAAATGGTCCTCAAACGCGCTACCTGCTTGGTGGGAATGAATTACGGCATGTTTCCTAAATGGCAGACCACGGAGCCAAGCTGTCTTTTGAATTTAAGTCCAGTGAAAACTGGAGGAAAGCTAAATTCATAGGTTTCAAATGTTGTGGATGATCCACAGCGCGTTCAGAACCATTAAGGAAGATATGTTTGTTAGGTTATTCTCAGTCTTTGTTAGGACACACTTAGCATACTGCATCTAGGCTTGTCCATCATGTTTTGTCAGGGACAGGATGTCAGTGGAGAGAGCGGTGGGGATTGGAACCAAAATAGTTTATGGGCTATGGAACGTCTCTTACCCATAAAGACTATTTAAGTTAGGTACGCTTTCAATGCATCATCGTCGCCATCGAGAAGACTTGATCTTAATCTATCTCATAATTACTGGTAAAATCGGGCCTCATTTCTCTGGGATTTTCCAACCAGCTGGGCTTCCATCCCTCTGAGGTCACTGGATAAAGATACACAAGCCGCGATCGGATGGAGTCCGGGCGGACTTTCTATTATCACACCCAGCGGTAGAATCCTGGAGTTCACCGCCTGAGCAAGTGGTGCTGCCACCAATGTTGTCATAGTTTGAACACCGATTTGACGCTACTGGCCATCAGTTCTTAACTATCCCCTTTAAAACCTAGCTTATTCACGTCATTGCGTTAATAACTCTATATTACTTTTTTGGTTCGTAACTCTTCTATTATTTTCATACTTCCGTTTCCTATTTTGCTTGACCGATGTGGCGGGGACTGTCACTGCAGGTCGCGTGGATATTAATTGCTTGACCATGGTGCGAGTCGCACGTGCTGACTTGATGCCCCCTAGATTACAGTTATCGCGGACGAATAATACCCTGGATCAAAGACCTGCCACGGCAGGAATACCCATGGGCATTTATCCTAATGTTCCAGTCCCACTTGAACTTGAACTTGATGGCAGTGCGCACAGAAAAAGCTCTAGAAACTACAAATGGCACATAAGCTATTTTCCTCATTATACGCTACATGGGGTACACCGTCCAGAATGGACTATTTCATCTGTTCACCACAATTGTTGAGTGTATGCTGACTGCATTTTGGGTTCAAAGTGGAAAATAATTGTTGCCACATCGTTTCACATAGAGCTGGCAACGGTCGTTCGCCCACAGGAAAACTGTCTACATGAAACATTCACAAGCAAATTTCGGCGACATATTTCCGTTATTGATTCGGTTGATCAGCATTGTTTGTAATTATAAAAAAGAATACTTTTCCTCATGATCTAAAGAGATGAACACACTTAACTTTTAATTTTTAGCCGTTTCGATTAGCGGAAACGTGCACCCTTTAAAGTCCAAACAAATGGCTTTGGACAGTAGAGCTCAAGTAGCCGATACGTGTAAACCTCAGATTTAGGCCTGAAAGATATTTACGATTCTCAAATGCTTTGGGTCATCTCCTGTTCTCCCTTTTGTTCCAATGCATCAGTCTTGGCATGTAATCATCTCCAAAAGAGGTGAAAACTTACAACGCTGGTGTATATCAACAATGGTACCAGAGGAGTAGTCGGAACTTTGGTGGAAAACCAGTGGATGCACTTTTCAAAGAGAAGTATTAGATAGAATCCCAAATGAAATGAAATTAGCGACAAATACCTAGTGGCGGGCGATCAAGCTCCCCGTGCTCTAGCACAGTAGATGTCAAAATCCACGTCAAAATCCATAACAGAATGACGCGGCACGTCGGGGTTGCCGTTGTTCAGTTTCAATGGATCCTCTACCTTAGGCTAAATCATCCTTACTCCAAATGGCACTGGCCTCAGCAGGCAAGCGGAATATGACTGCAGCTTAGTTGGTTATCATTGATCCTATGAGCACAAGTAAGGTAGGGGGAGAATGGGTGCTTTTCTTATGTCAGATTCGCACATTTCCACCGTGTTTCTTTGTATCGCAAGTAGTGTAAGACGTATCAATTGAGGCCGTAACATGTATTGCGGCGTTGGCGCACAAACAGACCCGTGAAAGTAGAAACAGAACCGTGGATGTGTTTGTTGCCGGTCAGCTCCCAGCTTGTGCTCCACCTTTGTCGCATCCTGCACATGACCACTAGTTGGTGATACGGCTTATACGAAGATCCCAATTGTCATCGTATCTTATAGCTTTGCAATTTTGAATGATTATACCTCGGTGCGTTCACCGGTATGGACTTGCTTTGCTGGTATCTCTTCCCTATGTTGCGGTATTCACTGTGAACTTCCTACAAGATTAGTTAACTTATAGATTGGACTAGAAACAAAGTCAAACTCAAGACGATGCGTAGTGAGACGCAGCCGGCAAAATTTGTCGCTGCGGGAAAATGTTTCGATCTGGCATTTTATGTGCTGGATGCAGCACATACTATCACACCAAGTGTGCTTCTTTAAACGCAATGGAAATGAGGTACAATGTAACAAGTTTTTTGATTGCGCACTACTTGTATGACCGTTTCATCTGTGAGATGCGTAGCTATTCTTGCACAGAAGTGAGATAACCTATTAGTGATGGTCGAGGAATCTAGGCTTAGTAACTGCTACCCATTGGATTCAACCGCAGCCAGGCTTGGCACCCAAGACTTCACAGATGAACATAGTGGCCGAACTAAAGTTAGTGGTAAATAGTAAGGCAAGGTACCCAAACAACGCTAATTCAAATTCAAGTAACCAACCTAGTTCCACCTACTACGGCGACTCCCATTCTTGCGCAGTCGATATTGCATGAGAACCGCTCTGTGGAGCATGTAAGGCCGGCACATGTAAGCACACCAGATACCGCTGTGAGCTTGACTACACAATCATCCGTTTCCGATACCCAAACACTAGGAACAAATTCTATGGCTACCCCTGACACGATCACACAGGTCGCTACAAACGCCACAAACATGCCCACCACACCACCAATGATTCAAATCCCACTCCCTTACAAACTGGTTACTTCAAAACTAGCCAATGAGCCGCTAGAAATCGTATGTTCCAGTGTTCATGCAACTAACGTTAATTCCATAAAAGATTGCTGGACGACTGAAAACAGTAAAGCACCGTATGTCTACCGATAGGCGTCCATGCTAAACCGGCTAGCATGGTGCGCATTGTACTGCACCCAAAATTCAACCCACAAGGGAAAACACGGTTGTTAGGTGTGACGCTATAATCAGTCACCCGCCTTCAGACTGACTCATTCGGCATTCGGATATTCACCGACGTCCATTGGAATGAGCGCCAACAAAAATACAGAACCCTGATGACTAGCACCATCGGAACGAGGATAAGTCACTATTTATTCATGGCGTACCAGGGCTTCAAGCATCTAATGACCGTAAAGCACGAGCCCACGATTGGGAGGAATGGCGCTACCTACGTCAAGTGCTCTAACTCAACTACCTGATCAACGAATCGATCATAAGACTGCCTTCATCATAAGAGTAGAATAAGTGTGGCCCTAAGGTAGTGAAAGCCGTGTCCCAGTCCAAACACATGAGAGAAGTGCACTTGAAAACTGGCGTAAGTAGCGTAACACTTTCCTTAGACCTGCGAATAAAAGCCTTCAATACCAGATCCAGATCACCGATAGAGACCAAAGTCACCGGGGGTGATCGTGACCCCAGTAAGTCTTTGTTGTGAAGCAGAAAACTGTGAAGCACAATAAACTATGGAAGAGATAGCAGTTTTCCCTATAGTTGCTGTCACGTATGCAATTGAGCATCGGTTCATAAACACAGACCCTCACATGATTGGTTGACAATGAACTTGCCTCACCTTCTTGTTTCATTGATTTTCCTTTCCGGCATTTCTAGCCACTGTAACGTAGGAAGTTTTGGGAAATTGGTTCCCTACTATGCGTGCACGTTCCGTTCGGTCCATCGGCTAAGGGCCATACTTGACATTCTGGCGACAAAGTTAAACTACTGCGATGTTGCACATTCCGGCACTACTTTGAAATCTTCCTTCTGAATAATCAACACCGGTACCTGGAACCAATGTAAGCGCACCTTTTGGATTAGTTGGTGCTACTATCCGTTTTGAAACCAAATAAGGTACTCGC